TATGGTCACGTAACCTACTTCTTGTAACGACCCATGTCCAAGGTTTGGATCATGATTCAAATTTTGAATGTTGGTGTCATTCCCTACGACATGGTCACGTAACTACTTACTCCTTGTAACGACCCATGTCCAAGCTTTGGATCAAGATTCAAAATTTGAATGGTCCCAACATTCCCTACGACATGGTTACGTAACCTACTTCTTGTAACGATCTATGTCCAAGGTTTGGATCAAGATTCAAAATCCGAATGATCCCGACATTCCCTACGACATGGTCACGTAACTTACTCCTTGTAACGACCCATGTCCAAGCTTTGGATCAAGATTCAAAATCCGAATGATCCCAACATTCCCTACGACATGGTCACGTAACTTACTCCTTGTAACGACCCATGTCCAAGCTTTGGATCAAGATTCAAAATTTGAATGATCCTGACATTTCCTACGACATGCTCACATAACCTACTTTTCGTAATGACCCATGTCTAAGATTTGGATCAAAATTCAAAATCCAAATGGTCCCCACATCCCTGTGAACTAAAATTTTGAAATGTTAAAGTTTCATTAAACATATCATTCAAATATATATCTAATAAATCAATTAATTTATTAGTTTGACAATCTAATTTTCAACGCAATTTAAAAATATTAATAAATTTTAAAATAATGGAAGACATTTAATTATATACATATTTGATCAAGATTTCAAAACTATATTTAAAAAATAAATAAATAAAATAAAATTTAGCTTATTAACAAAATGGGAATAAAATATTGCGATGTAATAATAGACTATTATTTTTTTTCTTTATAAAATATATAAACAAGATAATTTATTTTATAATATCCATACAAAAAGTGTTCAAAATCAATTCCATAAATAGCTTTTTTTTTAAGATAAATAAATAAATATATATATATAATATATATATGTGTGTATATATTATTTTAATATCATTTTTCGATTTTTCTATTATAACTCTATTTTTAATTTATTAAATATTATTTAGGCTATAAAAATTATTAATAACCTTTTTTATATTATAATTTAATATTCCAAAATTATTAATAGTCAAAAGAAAAGTTAGCTATGGAAATTAATGAAGCATTAAAAACATAACCAATTTAAGCAAAATTAGCACATGGGAGAACCAACCGACAATTTTGTGAGAGGGAAATAACATGTCCTTTGGTGCTATTTTTTCAAATATGTGAAAAATAGGGCTATTTTTCCAATTTTTTGAAATTAATGGATTTTTAAGTGACCGAAATTTTAGATGTAATTAAATTAGAAATTTGTCACCTTTTTTTAAATTGAAATATTATTAATATATCTAGATTTGATTTTAATTTTAAATTATAAGAATAACTTGTTCACCTACTTATATTAATAAAAATATTCCTAAATTTTTAAAAATAAAAATTTTAAAGGTAGAATTAAAACAATTTTCCTTTATAAAAAAAAATCTTATCGTCAATATACGAACGAAAATTATTTATCGATACTTCATAAATTATCTTCAACATTTTTTAATGTTCTTTTAAAGAGTTCGTGAGTATTTTTGAAACGTGGTGCTCACGAAATTTTTGAAAACTTAAGGTTTTTTTTTTAATATTTTAAAAATTATAGGATATTTTTTAAACTATTTTGAAAGTTAAAAGGATATTTTTTAAATAAAATATTAACCGTTTCTATCTAAAACTGATCGTAACACTATTTTTTTTAACCTTTTAAAATTTAAGGATATTTTTTTTTAGAAAAAAATACCAAATTCAATTTTTTTATGCGTTTGAGTTTTCTAAATTTCATTCCTATTTTTATAATTACAAAATATATATATATATATATATATATATAATGTCATGATGGGCTATATTCGGTTGTGGATCTGTTTGTGTGGGCCGGCCCATCAGCTTCGACCAGAAAAATTTGGATCATCTAAAGCCCAATATTGTGTCGTTGAAATACCTTAATTTTCTCAAAACCACGTGAATATAAGGTTAAATTAATAAATTATTTTTTAAAATTTTCATAAAATTAAATAAATATTTTAAAATTTTAATATTAAAATTAAATAAATATTCTTAAAAAAAAAAAAAAAGTCACGTGGGGCACGGAGGTTCGGAGCCGAGCATAGAAGATGATAAGATGGGGACCTTGACAATTGTAGTAACGATGTTGATTGCCCAACCACCATTTTACCTTAATAACGTTAACAATTATGCAAGCCCTTAATTATACTTACTTCCATTAACATGGATTCTTCAGCATTGGTGCTCGATCTCTTTCCGATATATATCTATATCGGGTTCTGGAGCATTTTAAAGGGAACCTTCTACTTTTTCTAATGGATGTACATCGAGATCAATGTCTCAACAAAGAGATAAGTTTGAGCTCGATACAAGGACTTTATCAACGTCCATGAATGATAAGTCATAAATCGACTTACTGGAGCGTCGAGTCGATCTCGTGCTCTTTCACGTGGAATCATTGGACTTAGAAGAACTCCGTATCGTTCTCTTGAAATTCATCATCTTTGATTTTAATTGTTTTTATTTTTTTAAGCCTGTATTAAAGTTCACGTGATAGTAACTTGTAGCTCAAGAATCTTGAAAAACAAGTCGTTATAGAGTGATATCATTTGTTTCATGAAAGAAGCCTCAAAATAATTGTCACACACGTAAATATATATAGTTTGGAATGTTTGGAATGGTTTAATTTTTTTTTTTTTTATATATAAATTCAACTAAAAAGGGATGTTTTTCCGATAAAAGCGACATATTGTATGTATACACACGAGAGACATGCTCACACTTGAATCCTTCTTAAAAAATCAAGGGTGGTTGGCGGTGCAACCCATAGATGAATCCCACTAGTTAGCTTTCTTGTGCCTTACGAGTTTACTCGCACATTAACTTGCACACATGTCAGGCTCCTTGATTCGTATTTCAGAACAAGTCGAATGAGGAGCTCACAGACAGATGTCAGGAACATGCATATGTCAAAGCACGCCGAAAGGCGCGTGTTGCCAACCACGATCAGGATGACAGCGTTTCCACAGACGTAACGAGGGCTTTAGCTACCATCTCAATCTAGATCGTTCCATGTCCCAAGTCGATTGACGGACTAGCTTATTACTTTACATACGTACACGCATACAAAACTCCATAATTTTTTTGATGTGGACTTGGATAAGAGGCTGAGAGGGAATGGTTTAGAGAATGGGTGACATTTATGGACCATATTTTAAAATTTTGTTATGGCAGACTTTTTAGGTCAAAAGTGGATGAGTTATTATACAATTATATGTGCAAGTTTCCCAATATCACCATACTTTATTTAGCCTTTATTTTTCTCATCTTACTTTTCACACTTTAATTCATTTAATTATATTCATTTGGGTTAATCTTGTTAGACGAAGACAACTCTCCACAATGGTATGATATTGTCCACTTTAAGCATAAGCTTTCATGGCTTTGCTTTGAGCTTCCCCAAAAGACCTCATACCAATGAAGTTAGTATTCCTCACTTATAAACCCATGATCACACCCTAAATTAGTCGATGTGGGACTTCCACCATCCAACAAATCTATGGTTTATCTATTTTATTTTAACCTAATTTATTATTTATTATAATAATAATAATAATAATAATAATAATAATAATAATAAGTTCGTAGAATATTATGTTTTAACATTGACACTAAATTCTTAGAAATTATATTTATATTTTTACATATGAACAAACGTCAAATAGAGAATTTCTAGATTCTAATCGATAAATCTTGTATTAAAAGAATGGAATGCATTTTATTATGATTAAAAAAATAAATTAATTTAAGTATTTTTTATGCTAATGAAATAAATAAAAAATATTTGTTTGGTACATCACAATATCATGAATGCTAGCGTGTTAGGTATGGTCATGAAACCTTCGTTCCTTCCTCTTTCCTTCCCCCTTTTTTTTCCTTTCTTTAGGACAAAATATTAATATATGGGAGATTTTGTTTTATATTTTTATTAATTAAGTTGGTTCACTATTTTTTTTGGTCTTAAAGATCCCACGTTGGTTGGAGAGGAGAATGAAACATTCTTTATAAGCTCAAACACCGGGCGATGTGCCAGCAAGGACGCTGGGTCACGAATGGGGTGGATTATGAGATTCCACATTGATTGCAGAGAGAATGAGTACCAGCGAGGACGTTGGGCCCAAAAGGAAGGTGGATTGTGAGAACCCACATCGATTAGAAAGGGGAATGAGTACCAGTTGGGTCGATAAGGAGGTGAATTGGGAGATCCCACAATGCTCGCTGGTCCCAAAACGGAGGTGGATCGTGAGAACTCACATGGATTATAGAGGGGAATGAGTGCCAGCAAAGAGACTGGGTCATGAAGGAGGGTGGATTGTGAGATCACACGACGAGTGGGAAGTGATGAAATATAAGGGTGTGGAAATCTCTTCCTAACATGTGCATTTTTAAAACCCAAAAAAGACAATGTCGGTTATTAGTGGGCTTGAGCGGTTACAAATGACTATACCATTATTCTGGTCATCGAGCATTTAAATCATTTGAATTTTAAATTTGTAAATAAAGATATTTCTAAATGATTATTTGCAAAATGTATAGGTAGGGTTTTTTATAGTATGTAATTTAAATGATTTCAAACCATTTAATTTGCCATAAATGTTTTTTTTTTTTAATTGAAAGATTGGAAATTAAAAAAATATATATATATATTGAGGATTTTTAAAATTTAATTGAAAATAGCATTTATATTTTATCGGATTGTATCCTTTTAACAAGGAACGTGTCTACAAAAGTAAGAATGTTACCACATCGTGGCTGTTGTCTAGGAAACCGTATTTGGACCCAAAACGACGTCGTAAAAGGGCAATTGTGTCCTTTCATACAACCAATGGCAAATCCAGTAATTTTATTAAACAATGAGGCTATTTTCTAAACTTTCCACCCAATATATTCAAGAACCACCATTTCGCCTCATTCCCCTTCCCCATATATATTCTAAAATTTCTCCCCTCTCTCTCTCTCTCTCTCTTTCCGTTTTTCCTTTTTCGCTCCCTCAATCTCTAACTATCAATCTCAACCCTAGAACCCTCCGTTTTCCTCTTTTCCTCCGCCGTCCACGGAGGCGAGTTTCCAGGACACCGTCGGTGGATAAATCTGGCCGTACTTTCATCGGTCACCGTCGCAAGGACCGCCGCCTCTCGATCCGATTTCCGTCGTATCGACGTTTCGGATTCGGTTTTTAAACAGACCATTTTCTCTCTCAAAATTTCGGAGAGTTTACGCTTTGATCCTTTTTCGTTGCTAGAGTTACTGACATTCACCGTCTGCATCTTTCTTTAACCGCTCCAAGTTCTTTATTATTATTAATTTTTCTTTTTTTTTTTTAGTTTTTTTTTTTCATTTCCTCTTATCATTTGCGATTTGAAATTTGTTACGTCCGAAACGTCCAACTCTGGGTGATTTGACGGGTGAACCTTTCTAGGAGTAGGATTTTACGATTTTACCCCTTTGTTTGCCACGTGGCATGATCTAAGGCTGAGGATGAGTGTACACTCACGCACCATCACCACCATGTTGCCTCCTAGGGCGTCAAGGAAGCGAAAGGAGGTTGAGCCGTTTGTGAAGCCAAAAGCTACGGCAGTCGACTCAGTCTCGTCGAATCAGCTTCTAGCCGGCTACCTTGCTCACGAGTTTCTGAGCAAAGGCACTTTGTTTGGGGAGAAGTATGAGCCGGCTCGAAGTGAAGCCGTTGGAATGACTAGCTCACAGCCATCTGAGTGTAAGAGGATGAAGCCGGAAGCCGCCACCGCCGCCGCCGCCGCCGCCGCTCCGAGCGTCAGAAAAGAAGATCATAGCTATGCTGAGGTGGCAAGCATCTTGAAAATGGATGGGGCCCACTTGCCTGGGATTGTTAACCCGGCCCAGCTCGCTCGGTGGATTAAAATGTAACGTCCGGCGTGGTGTCCTTTCATTGGATGTAAATTTTACCTTTTAAGTTTGCGTTGAAATTTCTCATTTCTCATAACAGTTGGAAGGATGGAAGTAGAGACGAGTTCTCTCTCTCTCTCTCTAAAATAGCTCTCGGGAACTTTCTCTCTCATTCTCTTTTGTTCTCTCGAATTTCATGAGTGTAGCGAGATCTGTTGATGATCAACGTATAGGACTGAGTTCGGAAACGGAGAATCAGTCAGTTTGTTCTAATGCTGTAATCGCACAGTTTCTCCTTCCGTGTAAATGATTATATGTTACTCTTTTTCTTCTGTTTCAGATTTTTTATTGCTCCGATTTCTGAAATACAGGTCTATAATGGATGCATGCATAAGGTTTCATAATCTGCAAATGTTGAACCGACATTTGCTTTAGAAATCGGAGCCATGATGATTGAGGTACGTACGCTATTGAAATTTTCTGCACTTGACGAATTTCTGTAGTTATATGTGGATCGATGAATGATTCTTCTCGTTTGCGTCGTAAATGATTGGTTCGATTGTTCCTCTTTTGTTTAGTTGGCACGGCAGCCTTGACCGTCAAAATTCGTTCATCTGTCATGCCAATTTAGAATTTGTTACGGCCTTAGATTTTCACTGCAAAATTTTTCCGTTTCGTCGATATATTGCTTTATTTTCTTCAGAATAAAATTGCAATTAATTTTGGAAACATTCTTCGAGGAAGAATGTCGGATGATCGGATAATCAAGTTCTTTGTGAAAGAACTTGTTATGGCTTATGGCTTTGGATATCCGTGCGTATTGTCTCTGTTTCTGCCGCCAGCTTCACTTGGAAGGAAATCGCCGTTAATTTTAGTAACATTCCATCTGCAAGAAACGCTCTATGGTTCGATTCCATTACCACGGCGCAACAAGAAGTATCACGGTAGTTTTCAATCTTCAAAAGTTTTGTATGCTTCAAAATTTTTAGCTTTCACAATTATATATTCAGTACACAAGCGTAATTTTCTGAAAAATAAAATAGGTTTTTTTTCTTTTCCAAAAGTTTGAACTATGAAAATACGTTCTTCTAAATTTATCGAAGACGTTTACATCAAGTGATGCAAAATTTCCTAAGAACTTCATTTTTAACCTTTTAGATGTTATAGGTTTCAACATTTTCTTGCATTATGTTAACAGTAATGTGGTTTCCTTTATTTTGTTAATTTCAAAGCGTCCATGTTTTGATTAATTTGGGTGCTTTAGCGTAGTGTCTAACTTCGTCTTTAGTCATTATTTCTTCCTCCTATTAAGTTTTTCTTTTCCAAATTTCTTGCATCGAAAGAAAAGGGAACTTTCAAAGCGTGTGATACAGTTAATAACTGTTGTGTTTGGAAACTCTTTTATACTTTACTTTCCTCTCTCCTTCTCTTCCCTTCACCTTATCTGCCCTCTCCCTCTCCTTCGACTTCAACAAATTCGATGGCCAAAAGATTTGTGCTGGATTGCATCGACAAATATAGACAGTGCCAGCGACACATTACTCAAAATGCTTCAGATCTGGATAAATCAACCAAAATCAAAATATTATATAATAATATAACGCACTACAACGTTTCCGATAATCATTGCCACGTGGAAGTACCCCACTGAGCACAGGCAGTTTGAAACGACGGTTTCTATTGCTGTCCATCAGACGGTTATATGCATTTGAGATATATCGGAAGGAAGGGTTGGATGTCGGATGAAGAGGAAGAAAGGGGAAGAGAGAGAGAGAGAAAAGTATTTTTAGAAGGTTAGAAAATTAATTTTATATACATAAATGTAAAAGGTAACGTGAAGCCCATGGACTTGGGTTTAACCCAATGGTTGCTAAATCCAGGCCTTGAAAATCCCAAATTCTTTATATTCAACCTTTGAACTATAATATGGATAAAATCAAACTCAAATTCTTTACATAATTTTTTTTTTATATGTATAAAAACCGAATATGTTTAATGTTTCAATATTATAGTGTTAAAATCGTTAGTTAACTGTAATAATGCTATGATATGAGTTGCCATATTTATTAATTTATAATTCAAGAGTGGCGTATGCATTTTGCAATATTTAAAAAGGAAAAGTTGAAAGGAAAAAAAAAGGACCGTAGAGGATTGTTGGAAGAGGAATCCTCATATTGGCTACTTAAGGGAAAGATCATGGGTTTATAAATAAGAAGCATGATCTCCATTGGTACGAGACATTTTGTGAAAATCAAAAGTAAAGTCGTGAGAACTTATGATTAAAGTAGACAACATTGTACCACCATTGAGGAGGTCTCTGATTTCTAACATGCTATTAGAGTCATGCCCTTAACTTAGCATATGTATATAGAATCCTCAAGTGTCGAACAAAAAAGTTGTGAGACTGAAAGATACAGTCAAAAGTGATTCAAGTGTTGAACAAATAGTATACTTTGTTCAAGAGTTCTAGAGGAGTAAAGCTTCGATTGATGGGAGGTTGTTTGAGGGCTCCATAGGCCTCGGGTGAGGCTCTATGATGTACATTGTTCAAGGGGAGGATTGTTGAGAGAGCAATCCCACATGTGGCTACCTAAGTGTTGAACAAATGGAGGAGAGACTCTACGGTATACTTTGTTCAAGGGGAGGATTGTTGAAGAATATTGAGAGATGAGTCACACTTCGACTATTGGCTAAGTAAGGAATATTCTATGGGACCTTTTGGAAAAACTAGGAGCAAATCTACGAGAGTTACAAAAGTAATTTTTCTCTTACCCTCTTACTTTAATGCTAACCAATAAGGGCAAAGGAAAAAAAAAAACAAAAAAGAGACGAGCTTCCTTAGTTTATTCCTTAACTACCCTTGTATTATTCGTGGTGCGAGTCAAAACAGAAGACGAGCAATCACAGCTCATATCAAAAGCTAATGTGTTCTACAGATACCAAAGTAAAGAAAGCGACTTTAAGGCTTAAATTAGAGAAATGATGATTCAGCTTATGCTGCCTTCACCGCAACTGATCTTGCTTTCAGATTCAGAAAGATTCCCCTGAAACCAGAAACCACAATTGTGTTACGGGGAGAATATGTACAAGATCACATCACAATATTCTTTTCCAGATAATATATATAATATATATATATATATATATAGCTTTTTATTCTTGTAGGCTAAGTTACAAAGCATACCCCACGACCTTTGTCTTTCGTTAAAAAGTATTCATATTTTTTCAAAAGTTGCAACATCACCCATGAGTCGTGACATTCACAATCGTTTCAAAACTACTTGAATGTTGGATGAAATTGAGATATGGAATGGTGTGACCGTGATCATGAACCGTAATCGATACTCTATTTTGAAGCATTTATGAAACAATAACAAAATTTAGAGGTGTTTCTTGTAATGTCTGCAGTTTCTTGATCTTCCAGTTTATGGTGAAATGGCCTAATATAAGTAACATTATCAAGCCAGATGGTACAAACATCAAATTCTAATGCTCAGATTAACGTGTAAACAATATTGTTTCTTTCATTTCTTTTGACTCTTTTTGCTGTAACTTATATAGATTTGTAATGGTTAATAGCCCAAGCCCACCGCTAATAGATATTGTCCGCTTTGGCCCGTTACATATCGCCGTCAGCCTCACGATTTTTAAAACGCATATACTAGGTAGAGGTTTCTACATCCTTATAAGAAATGTTTCGTTCCCCTCTCCAACCGATGTGGGATCTCAAAATCCACCCTCCTTGGGGGTCCAATGTCTTCATTGGCACACGGCCTGGTATCTGGCTCTGATACCATTTATAACCAAGCCTACCGCTAGCAGATATTGTCTGCTTTGGCCCGTTACGTATTGCTCTCAGCCTCACGGCTTTTAAAACGTATATACTAGGGAGAGGTTTCTACACTCTTATAAGAAATGTTTCGTTCTCCTCTCCAACCAATGTGGGATCTCACAATCCACCCTCTTTGAGGGCCCAACGTCCTCGTTGGCACACCGACCGGTGTCTGATTCTGATACCATTTATAACCAAGCCTACCGCTAACAGATATTGTTTGCTTTAGCACATTACGTATCATCGTCAGTCTAAAATCGTGTGTGCTAGAGAGAGGTTTCTACACCCTTATAAGGAATGCTTCGTTCTCCCTCTTCAACCGACGTGGGATCTCACAATATATATTTGTTTTTTTTTTGCTTGCAGGAATAGTTGAAAAATAATGAAGGGGTCTCACCAGCATGAAGCAACAAAGCTGTGAAATATGACTCGAAACTGCAGAGGCATGTACTGGTAATTCACCCAACCAACTATAGGCCAGAACTGCAATTCATAAGCATCTCATTCTTATTATCTATTATACTAAGCTTTCTTCATTTCTAACAGCGACACAAACCCAAATCAAATAAAAAGAACAATAGGTTTGAATTCCATACCCGCCAAGCAGTAAGCTGAATAGTTGGATAATCCTTTCGAACTTTAGCCTTCACCAAACTCCATGGTCTTCCTGAAATTAGAGGCTCTAAGTTTGTCAACCTTTTAGCCAACATGACCTTTATGAACATAGGACATCCATAGAGATTAGAACCAGATTATGACAACCAACACTATGGAGGGTTGAATACTTCTGGACAAAACATGAAAAACTACACAAAATCCCGTCAGTAACCCATTTCTCGAGGATTGTTGGGAGGGAATACCACATTGGCTAATTAAGGAAGCAATGATCATGGGTGTATAAGGAACAAATCTCTATTGGTACGAGAACTTTTGGGGAAACCAAAAGCAAAGCCACGAGAGCTTATGTTCAAAATGAACAATATCGTGATATAAAAAATTGCAGCAGATTTGCTTACCTTCAACAACCAAACCATAGTATATCATGAAAAACAAATTGTTCCAAGGAGAGCTGGTCAATTGTTCCAATATCACCTTCAGCAATCAATATAACCACAGAAAACGGCTAAGATTACAAGGAAAGGATTCAGGTTTAGAAACATTTAAGGAAGAAACAGATACTACCTTCTTTGCAACAGTTGTGTTTCCTTTCTTCCCCTTGAAAATTTTATCCATTAACTTGTGCAAAAAATGCCCAAACGGTCCAGCATAAGCAAAGCCATAGAGCTACAGAGCAGTAATACAACACATTTTTAGCACCTCACCAGCCATTATCCACAGAGAATCACAGAATTAATAAAGGAACTGTACCATCACAAGAAGTAATCGTCTGATTTGAAGCTTTTTGATCCCAGAAATCTTCTGAGCCACCGTATCGCTGCAACCAGCTAAAACCCCAGCAGTGATCGCCTAAAAAGAAAGGTAGAACATAGATAGAACAACCCGAAGAAGCCGAATCAGATTCTGAATGAAACAACAGACCTTTGTTCTGAGAGGATTCTTCTGAAGTTGAAGGAGATAGCCTTTCCAGGCATCGGTAACTATGGAAGACATAGTTCTTGAGTTGGGGATCTCCAAGATCTTGGGATGAAAATGGGAACAATAAGCGAAGATTGTTGTGATGATCGGGAATAGAATAGGGGTTTTGGAGGAATTTAAGTATTGGAATTAACGAATGTTTGACTTTGATCGCAGGGGGTTGGTTTGCGACGCCGGTAGACCGAGATTGGACGCGTCTCTGAACCCTACCATCGAAGGTACTCACTCGATCATTTCGCATGAATTTCCAAACAATTACTTGGCCTTGACATGAATTTCCAAATTTGGGCCTTTTTTTTATTTACTTAAAACAAATTTGAGCTGTTTTTAATTATTAGGTTTAAATATATGTTGTTTTTGTCCTCAATTAAAACTTTTAACAAAATTTCAAGGTTAAATCAATAAAAATAATCTTTTAATTTTGTATTTATACTCTAAAAATACCTTAAATGTTTCAAAAATTCCAACTTTGTTGGAAAGTTTAAAAATATATTTATTGTTGTTGATAGATTATTTTCAAATTTTTTTATATTACTTTTGAAAGTTTATGAGTTTTTTTTAAATTGTGATACGGTAAAGGTGTTTTTTTTTAGTTTAATTTTTTTTTATGTTTTTATTTTTTGATTGGATTATATTGTTTACTTTGAAAAATGGTTGTTATTAATTAATTATGGTCCAATTTGATAGTTATTTAGTTTTTTTTTTTTTTTTTTTTTTTTTTTTTTTTTTTTTTTTTTTTTTTTTTTTTTTTTTTTTT